ACACAACATAGGGAGAGCAGAAATCATGAAGTCAAAGAATCCTCCTGTGGGCACCAACTCAGCCCACAAACCTGTCAAGGAAGAAGATGCTTTTCTGCTGGCTTTCACTTTAAGAAATTGCCCTGATGGTAAGCATCTTCACTGTCTCCAGCCATAGACTTACTACTTCTAGAAATCCTTTGATGTGAGAATAGGGTGCACCGGGCAGCCTTCTGTGAGGAAAGGGCGAGCAAGTGGCAACAGCAGCTGTCTAAGACCTCCTCTTCGGAAAGGCACCAGCACCTTTGCCTGGATGGCCTTGGCACTGGCCAGAAAGAACTACCAAGGTTCTAAACAAGAGGGTATGAGACTAGGATGGAAGTTGGTCTAAATCAAAGCCACCTAAAAACATTTTCTCTGACTTTACTGCACTAATTCATTAGTCTTTATAAAGGAATGTAACTTACAAATGAGTCCTCTGAATCACTTAGTTAATAGCATTCCTTGAAAATAATCAGGCCATAAGATACTAAGTGGATTCTAAATAATCGCCTTTATAATTTAAATTAAGCAAAATCAGTGACTTTATACCTTATTTCCTAATCAGGCAGCAAGAGTTAAAATAGATTTTGTGAAATTAGCATTAAGATTTGGCAGCTGTGAGTGGTGGCTGACGCCTTTAATCCCAGCACTCCGGAGGCAGAGGCAGGCAGATCTCTGAGTTGGAGTCCAGCCTGGTCTATATATTGAGTTTCAGGTCAACCGGGGCTACAGGGAGACCTTGTCTGAAAAAGACCAAAAAAGAAAGAAGTTTTGGCACCAAAGGCTGGGACACAACTCAGTGGCAGAACATTTGCCTAGCATGCACAAAGCACTAAGATCATCCCTAGCACCGGGGGTGGGTTGGAAGCCCTCAAGATTCAAATTCTTATTTTCACTGATTTGATGATTGAGTAATATCTTAATCCCTCCAGCTTTGTTTTGTATCTATAAAACACTAAGGAGCTGGTTATTATGGACATCCACATGAGTGTATGCACACACACACAGTGGACACACGGTGGGTAGTTAGGTCAGGATCCCCAAGGAATATGCAGGTGGCACTTATAAGTTATGTTGCTCAGGAGGAATGGCTGGGGTGCTCAGAAAGGGAGAACAGCCTGGTCAGATAAAAAGGACAGAGAGTGCTGGGTGTGGTGGCGCACGCCTTTAGTCCCAGCACTCAGGAGGCAGAGGCAGATGGATCTCTGTGAGTTCGAGGCCAGCCTTGTCTACACAGTGAGTTCTAGGCCAGCTGGGGCTACAGGGAGACCCTGACTCAAAAAGACCAAAAAAAAAAAAAAAAAAGGACAGAGAGTGGGGCGTGGGGCTGTTGCTATTGGTATAAGGCTTTTCTCTGGGTGAGGAAATGTTTTGGAGTTCTACAACATACCAAAACCCCATCAGTATACTTTAAAAGTTTTGAATCTTAAGGTACATGGATTACAGAAATTGTACCGTTACTTTGGGTGCTGGGAATCAAACCCAAGTCATTGTGTGTGCTTTAAAAATGCTCTATTATTGAGCTACACCCCAGTCTTATAGTGTTATTTTTTTAAACCTTTTTGAGACAGGATCTCCCTGGAGCCCCAGCTGGCCTGTAACTTGCTCTGTAGAACAGGCTGGACTTGAACTCACAGAGATCCACCTGCCTCAGCCTCCTGAGTGCTGGGATTAAAGGTGTGCGCCACCACGCCTGGCTTCCTATAGTGTTATTTTAAAAGGAGACACAGAAAACATGAATAGGACTATCAGGTCCAGTAATGGAAAATGAGGTTTTCTCCATTTTCTGGAGAATCAAGTTCTAATTTGTAGGATAAAAAGTCATTTTTTAAAGAGGGTGAGAACCAGTTTTTCTGACTAAAATATATAATTTTTAGACCCTCATCATAATCCATGATATTTCATGATGATAAAGACAGTCTTCACTTCTTGAGCTAAAACATCATCCAACTGGGGTTAGAGAGATGGTTCATATGTTAAGAGCACTAGCTGTTCTTGCAGAGGATTTGTATTTGGTTCCCAGCACCCACATGGTGGCTAACAACCATCTGTATCTCCAGTTCCAGGAAATCCAACATCCTCTTCTGACCTCCATGGGCACTGCATGACATAGGTGTATTTACACACATGCAGGCAAAACACTTATATATAAAAATAAATAAATAAATAAATAAATAAATAAATAAAATATTTTAGAACATCATCCAACTGATGGATTCTGAACATTAGGTGACCATTTTCAATGCCTGTTACTTCATACTGGGTTTTGGAGTGTTGTGAGGAATCTTTAGCAGCACAATGATTTCATGATCCCATTTCCCAGAGTGGATCAAGGTTAGCTTTCAAGTAGTAACCAAAGGTACAACTGTTTAGATATTTATTATTAAATTATGTAACAAAGCTTCCTCTATATAGTCAGAAAATGCACATTTAGATGAGAACAAAAATTAAGTACAAATACAATAATATTTGTTCCAAGAAGCTATTTTAAAAACAAAAATTTAGAAAGTGCATTTGGAAAAGAACAGATTTAAAAAATCAGTATTGGCATTTTTCATAAGGAAACATCTTCCATCATAGTAAAGTGTGATCAGAACTGATTCTCCCCCCATCTTTAAGAGCTAACAGGGTGGGAATGGATACAAATTATTCTGGTACTAAGGTTGGATACAAAGAAAAGGAGAAAGTTCCATTAAGGCATGCCTCAGCTTTGTCTCAGTTTATCTGATAAACATCCTTAAAAATTCACTTGTTCTTCCTCATTTGCCTTCCCCTGTAGAATAAGTGTCTATGGGCACACAAAGGAGTGAACAAGAGTCTGAGATCATGATGAGAAGTTGTGCACCTTTCTGGAGACCAGGCCCAATAACAACCCCTATTAGAAAAGGAGAATGGGGTGCACTCACTGTCTTTGAATAGGATCCACTGGCTGTCACACTTGCCCCCAAATTTAGGGTAATGATGTCATGCCATTTAGTCCAACAACAACTTAATGTCACCAGTTAGATGAAATTCAGTGAATTTCCAAAAAACCTTACCTAGTTAATGACAAAAGACAAGGTACTAGAAATAAAAAAGGCTAGAGCAGTTCCTAGAAGTCATTCTTTCGGGCTGAAATCATTAGCAACAGACAGGAGAGTAACAGTGCAGGTGTGAGAACAGGCCTCTCAACTCCACGGGGGCCCAGAGTCACTGCCTCAAGAGATCAGTAAACACACTTTCTATTCAGATGTATTCACACCCAATACATATTACTTGGTTCTAGGTAGGAAAAGTACCTTTAGGGTATCCCTTCTCAACTGTCTGCATTCTCAACTTACAAATACTCCCATGTCTGATCTGAACCAGGCAGAATGGAAAAAGGAATATTCAATAAAAGTCAATTCTGGTAGAAAGGAAAGGGAATAGTAGAAAAGTCCTTTTCTAAAACTAGACAAATAAGGTGACTGATGCAGGTTGCAGAGAATCCTTAGTCATCATTAAAGTAACAGAAAGCAGAGACTGCCGGGTGGATAATCTACAGCACTTACATGCCTGGGCTTGGGCTTCGGTGATGACTTTTTTTTGTTGTTGTTTTTTTTGAGACAGGGTCTCTCTGTAGCCTCAGCTGGCCTGGAACTCACTATGTAGACCAGGCTGGCCTTGAACTCACAGAGATCCACCTGCCTCTGCCTCCCAAATGCTGGGACTAAAGTGTGTGCTACCACCCCAGCTCTAAAAATCTTAAAAAAATAAACTGCTTGGAGCTAGGCAGATGGTGTGCATCAGGTGGTTGTCCCAGCACACCCAGCTGGTAGTTCCAGGAGGCTGAGGCAGAACTAAGTTCAAGGTCACTCAGGGATAAATAGTGAGATGCTGTCTGAAAACAAACATATCACTTGGATTTTTTTTTTTTTGTCTTTTTGAGACAGGGTCTCCCTGTAGCCCCAGCTGTACTGGAACTCACTATGTAGACCAGCCTGGCCTTGAACTCACAGAGATCTGTCTGCCTCTGCCTCCCAAGTGCTGGGATTAAAGGCGTGTGCCACCATGCCTGGCCCAATCACTTGGAATTTTTTGCCTTGTTTCCATGGTTTTTCATCTTTTACTAATATGGAAAGGGTTTAGACAGTTTTTTTTTTTTTTTAAATATTTTAGTTTTTGTTTTTTTATGTGTATGCGTGTATTACCTGTGTGTAGGTAAGTGCACCCATGTTGTGCAATGCCCGAGAAGTCAGAAGAGGCTGTCGGATCCCCTGGAACTGGAGTTACGGACAGCTGTTAGCTGCCATGTGGGTGCTGGGATTCGAACCCGGATCTTCTGCAAGAACAACCAGTGTTCTTAACTGCTGAGCCATTTCTCCAGCCCCTTTTTAAATGATTTTTAAAAGTTGTATTATATAAAATGATGGCCAAGGGAACAAATCTTTTCTAAGAAGCAACATCTCATTGAGATCACAAAACAAAAAGATTCTCCTGACCTCAGGCTCTGACTGCTTTTAATCAGAAACTCTTTTAACTGATGATTCCTAAGCCTGAAAACTGGGTTTGTAAAAGTGGAAGAAATGCAGATGATTGAAAAAGTTAAATGCCATGAAACTGAAGTTCTAATCAGCAACCACAGGATCCTGTAAAGAGCATGTCTGTTCCCTTCTGCAAATGGAGGCAGGAGCTGGAAGAGGAGGAAGAGCTCCTCTTGGTGGGGCACCCCACTGTGGGCAAGAGCACTGGGAGGTTAGTCAGACCTCCTGACACCAACATCTACAAGCTTTTAAGCTTCCTAGAAAGAACTGGTTTATTTTCATAAAGAAAATAACATAATTCTAACACTTCACATAAGCACAACAATCCAGGAAGGGCTCGCCAGTTACTGCCACTACCACCGTGCTTGTCTGTACAGAGCTCCCTCTACTCTCATCAGCCTCAATGAATGAGCCAAGTAATCAGACCAGCAGAAGACTGGTAGTATATTTAAATAACTTTATTTATGATACTTCAGATTTTATATATGCCCGCTATATAACAACCAAAGTCCCATAAAGTCTAGCTGAGACACAACCACCAATCAAGGCCCTTTGAAAAATCAAAGATAATAAAGCATCAGAGGAGAGTTTTGTTCTCCAAAAGAGAACTGATAAATGAACGAACTTCCCTGATTCTTTAAGGTTCACAGTGGGAAAAACTTCCTTTTAAGGGCATCTCCAGTCAACAAACTGATCAAGCAACCCATATTTAGAAAAATAAACCCCATAATTAAGAAAAATATATCAAATGCCTTTCATACTCAGAATGCAGTAAAACTCTAACAGCAGAATGACAAACCTCTCAATCTTTGTCCCAGACTGGGTGTCAATCTACCCCCGAGGCAGTGTATCAAGTCTGCTAACAGGACCATCTCCACAGCAGGACAGAGTGAAGAACTACATGCTAAAATCCTTTCGTTCCCTGTGGCACTGTCAGAGCACATGCCAATGGGGAACAGCAGCTTTCTCTCTTGGTGAGCACAGATGTTGGATGCCTTTAAAGTATATGGCAGTTCAGTAAGACAATTTTTTTTTTTTGGTCTTACTGAGACAGGGTTTCCCTGTAGCCCCAGCTGGCCTGGAACTCGCTATGTAGATCAGGCTGATCTTGAACTCACAGAGATCCACCTGCCTCTGCCTCTCGAGTGCTGGGATTAAAGGTGTGCACCACCACGCCCATGTAAGACAATTTACAGAGAGAGAAACGGCTAAACATGAAAATAATTTTGGTGGGTGTTTGCAGTTCTGTCACTGTCCAGGCACAGCAACAGAAGACAGGTGCAGGCAGACACAGACTCAGTCACAGGCACCTTCACCAGTGAAACCATCATCTGGAGGTTCAGAAAACCATAACAGATTTGGAATGAATAGATTTGCACAGAACACAGAATTCCTGGTGCACCAGGCAATGGTTGCTAAACTTTTGCTCTAAGTTTTGGAGTACCTACAAATGGAGCTACCTGGAGAGTGAGTCCTGAACGTCTTTCACAGGTAGCTTGGTGAACAGATCACACTGAAAATCACCGTCCCCTCCCTCAGTTACCATTGTTCATCTTCACACAGTGGTGGACAGTTAGGGGCACTGACAGACACTAGCTGGCTACTTCTTTTGTCACGGTGAGAGTTCATCTGTAGGACAAATATCAATCCAATGGAAGAAACAACAAAATCAAAACAATGACTAGTTCCTTGACACAAGGCTTGCTGTTCCCAATGCATTTCTAGCAGTAGAGTCAACCTCAGTGCACTCACAATTAAAAGAGAAAAAGACAAACTCCTTTTTGCAGTGTTCTACAATTCAGACAACCTCAAACATGATGAAGTTAGTCTATTAGCATCTTAAAGAATCAGTGAAAAATGGAATTTTTCTTGATCGCCAAGAATTAGGGACACAGAATAGAAATCTACAGCACAGATCACCAGGAAGGGACATCTGATTCCTCACCATGTGTTAAATAAAAGGACAAGAACTGTTTTTATTCACACTCAACCCTGTGGCTGAAAGCAAAGCAGTCTTTGGATGTAGAGTGCCTGGCACTGTGGTGAGGAGTCCGTCTGAGAGGCCTGCTGCTCGCCAGCCTCAACATGGCGAAGCTGTGGCTCTGCCTGACTGCTCACTTACCTCCTATGGAGACAAAAGCAACTGAAAGCCTTTTTGCTGTTGTTTGTTTCCTTTTTTTAAATTAAAAACAGAATAATGTATGTTAGAAAAGATAGCACAGAAAAACTGTGGCTCCAGCTCAATCCAACAAGGTCAGAGCCAATTCAGTTTGAATTCATCTGGTTGGTAGGCTCAAGATCAGGGCAGTCAGCTTCTCCTTCCCACTTTCCTTATTCCAGATTGGGACATGAAGGTGGTGGTTGCCGAGTCCCTGGAGACGTCCGATCAGTGGAAAGCGTAGAGCAGCAACAGGATGGTACAGATGCCAATGACGCCGCCAAGGATGAGTGAGTCTCGACGCTTCCTAAGGTTGATCCTCTGGATCAGACTGTTCACAGCAGGAAAGCGGTCTGTGGGAAACCTTTGTTAAGGCCGTATCTGAAAGAAGCCATTTTAGTGAAAAGTCACAGGACCCACAAACAGTCACCAGTGGGGTCCAGAAACAATAACTGATGAGAAACAGTGGGGAAAGAAGAGTAAAACCACGTTCAAACTGTGTGACAGGTGTAGAGTATACAAGTAGAAAGGAACTAACAGCGTGAAAACACTGACAGTTCCTGGAGCTCCTGAGGGATTCTGGCTTCAAGTGTGAGTGGGAGCCATGTGGTCAAGAAGAGGGGCTCTGCAGGGAGGGAGCTTCCCAGTTCCCACCCACCTCCTCCTGTCCCTTTTCTTCCTTTGTCCCTCCTCTCAGGAGGCTGGCTGGGCACTTCTGCCTGAGAGTTTTTTTTTAAATGTGTATGAGGATATTTATTGCCTGCATGTATATAAATGCACCCATGACATGCAATGCCAGTGGAGGTCAGAAGGGTCAGATCCCCTGGAACTGGAGTCATGTGGGTGCTGGGAACTAAACCTGGGCCCTCTGTAAGAGAAGTTGGTGCTCTTAACCACCAAGCTATCTCTACAGTTCCTTGCCTGAGAATTTCAAAGAAAATCTAATTTTCTCCACAGATAAGTTCCTCTTGGATTCAGGCAGTTGGGCCCTGGTGAATTATTTAAAGTTTTACATTCACTTTGCAGTGGTAGACAAAATAGATAAGGAAATTGGTGAAAATGCTCTAGCTGCTCTATTTGGGGAACATAATAAATTAGGAAAATTTCAATTTTAGACATTTTTACAATGGTCATTAACTATATTTTACCTAGTATTTTACATCACCAACACATTCTTCTTCGTACATGTAGACCAAAGTGGCCACACTTCCCTATTTTTGGCAGTAGTTTCTGATGCACCTGCAGGAGACCTTCTTTGTGAATAGAGGCATTACATCAAGTTCAGAAAAACCAATGATCAAACTGCTACGAAGAGGAAGAGTGCCACTCTCTGAGAACCACTGCTGCCTTTTCTGGGACTCTTACCAGGAGACTCAGCGTCTACATACTGTATGATCATGACTTCTAATCTTGAAGTTTCTTCAACGTCTAGAATACTTTACACACTATTAACATCAGTATATTTTTGAATGGAAAAAGAAAAACAAAAAACAAAGGGACAACTGGCAGAAACAATTTTAAAAACCAGGATAAAACATACGTATTGAAGTAACAAAAATTCTTACAAAGTAAAAAACCTTCCATAGAGAAAATCCTCCATCTTTTCTTGCTCAGGTTAGGGATAAACAAATGCACTGAGGATATAAAATTTTGGCATCAGGGGGTTTGGAGAGATGGTTCAATGGTTAAGAGTGCCTGCTGTTCTTGCAGAGGACTCAAGTTCGGTTCCCAGCACCCATGCAGGCAGCTTAAAACAGACTATAACTCCAGCTACACCATCTTCTGGCCTCTGTGGGCATCTCCCCACTCACATGTGCTATTCACTCACACAGGCATACACACACATAAATTTAAAAATAAATACTAAACTAAAATAATATTTTGGCTTTAGGAAACTGTGCCTATAATAGGTGCACTTTTGTTTAGTTTCCCAAAGGAACCACTTCTCTCCCCTTCTCTAATAATCTGGTTCAGAAGCAGGGCCAAACTCCCCCTCTGCTGTCACAAGTCCCTACTCAGTGGCCAGTGGCTAGGCTAGGAAGGGGTAGGGGTTCAGGCTGGGGGCTTTGGTGACAGTTATTAGCAAGGGTGTCCTCCTATGCCTTTCAAACTAGTGTTCTCGCCATCTGTCCTCATCACAAGAGATCTGACCTGAGAGCCAGACTGACACAGAAGAAAAATGAGATCTGCCAAGGGAGAGGGAGGGGACAGAAAGAAATGTCAGATTTCTGGTGATGCTGTTGAACTCAGGCCCTTAGTCTAAGCCAGTGAATCTAGCCACACCTTTGACCAAATTCTACCTACCCCTGGGTTTTACAGTGAAGAAAGTAGGGGCTAGAAAGATGGCTCAGTGGTTAAGAGCACTTGCTGCTCTTACAGAAGACCTGGGTTCAGTTCCCAGCACCCTACTGGGTACCTCAATGTTCTGTAACTCCAGGTCCAGGGGATCCGTCCTTTTCTGGCCTCTGAAGACAGCTGCATACACATGGAGTACATGCAGGTAGATAAGCAGGCACACACATAAATATAAAGACAAAAACAAAGTTTTTTAAAAAAGTTTCTTTCAGGTCAGTGTGCATTAGATTTCTGTTACTGTCTCTCCTATGGAGTCCTGACTCTGGTAATAGTTTCTACACTCTCCCTTTTGTGGAAATGAAAACAAAAATTAAATAATGCATAGGACAGGACTCTGCAAACTTTACAGCACTATATGAACTATAAGTGATTTGGGATGTGTGGTTTATATTAGACTAATACTAATACTAATTTGCAAAATTCACAAAAGATTGGAAAATACAAACTAATGATAGGTATATTCTTTTCCTTAGGCAAATAGGTATCAGAATAAAAGTGCCCTTCAATTATTTTTGACCAGACATTATTCAGCTTTTGAAAAATCACAGGTCCTTCTTCACAAAGTCATTTGGGAAGAAAATCTTTGAAGTAATCCTACTTTAATTGGGAAACTAAAAAATTTGAAAGCAAAGGTTACAACAAACAAGTAGAGACGGTCCTCTGAACTGGAGCTTGTGTAGCCACCGCAATCTACCACCAGTACTATGTGGCAGAGTACTAACATGGATTCAAATATTTCAGAGCAAAAATATTTGAATAATTTTAAAAGTCTAAATCTCTTAGTATTAAATCTCTGGTGTGCTGTCCTCTAGAGATGGTGTTAAATGGCATGAACTTCCACAAAGCAGGAAGTATTCATAGTATGTAACTGCTAAGGGGCTCTACTGCTACGGAAGCTGGCTGCCCCTACCTCCAATAAAACAGAAAAGAAAGGAACAGGATTCCTCACCCCATCAACAGATTTCAAAAAGGATACTGGCCAAAGTGTTCATTTTGCTGTGAATTGATTTGAGCATGCCTCTCTGTGAAGTCATATTTTCTTTTGTTGCCATAGCAATGCTTCAAGAAGAGAAAAAAATAAACAATTAAGTTGGCATTTGAAATTACCCTGCATGGATTCATTATATCATTAAACAGAAAACTATGGTGCACAATCAATCTTGAAATGATCAGGCAGGAAAATGGGGGAAATCACTTCTGAGCCACTTCATTGTCCAATGAAGTCTTTTGTATATAAAGCATTTTCTGTTTTCTTCAAAATGACAAATGAAATAAGATGTTTACAAGACAAATCATGGGCTAGAGAGATGGCTTGGTGGTTAAGAACATCGGCTGCTCTTGCAGAGGACCCGGGTTCAGCTCCCAGCATCCACATGGCAGTTAACAACAATCCATAATTCCAGTTATGGAAGAAGAGGGATCGAACACCCTCTCCTGGCCTCCGTGGGCATTGCAGGTACAAGTGCATTTACATACATGCAGGTAAAATATACATACACATAAAATAAAAATAAGTGATTTTTTAAAAGAGACAAATCACATATTACAAAGCTTCTTAATGATTTTTAAAGGGGCCAGCTACTGAAATATTTTTATTTTATGTGTATGAGTGCACTGCCTGCATGCATGTAAGTACACCTGTGTCCTGCAATGACTGCAGAAGTCAGAAGAGGGTGGCAGAGCCCTTGGAACTGGAGCTATGGAGCCATTAGCTACCGAGTGGGTGGTGGGACTCAAACCTGCAGCCTCTGCAAGAACAGTTTGTGCTCTTAACTGCTGAGTTGTCTCTCCAGCTCCCCTGAAATGTTTTTAATCAGAAAAAATTACTAAGAGGAAAGCAAAGAATTACAACCCTAAATAGAACCCCAAGTATATATTCACATTCAAACAACCCTCAAAATATAAGCAAATCAACTTTCAAACTTCTACTTCAGAATCACTAGGCAGATCCGGGAACTCATTAAACATGACTATGAAAAAGGAAAGTCACTCTATAGAATGTAGCCTCCTCCATGTGACCATGTTGATGTCCAGTTTAAGAGAGTCTGACTTACTATCTTCTTGCTGTCACTTCCAGGATTATGTATTTTCAAGTCTTATGTCCCCAGATATTAGATCCTAGAAGGCAGGGTCAGTGTCCACCATGATATGTAATACATGGGAGGGTGCTTTAGATACCGATATTCAAAAGGAGGGGAGTTGAAGGTGGATATGATCAAGATACACTGTATTGTATACATGCATGAAATAGTCAAAGAGTAAATAAAATACATCCTTTTAAAGATTTATTTGTTTTTAATTTATGTGTATGAGTGTTCTGCCTGCATGTATGTTAAGTGCACCACGTGCATATGCAATGCCCATGGAGGCCAGAGAGGGGGTTGGATCCCCTGGAAATAGAGTTGCAGACAGTTGTCAGCTGCCATGTGGATGTTGGGAACTGAACTCAGGTCGTCTGGAAGAGCAGTTAAGTGCTCTTAACTACTGAGTCATCTCTCCAGTTCAAATAAAAGATATTGTTTAAAAAGCCATAGAGACTGGGGAAGACAGGATCCGCAGTACAAATTCCTTATGTACCTTTGGCCCGTTTTGCTCCGTGGAGTAACACCTAAACAAAAGTACACATGCTGGGGAAGGGCCATCTAAAGGTCCAATTCCCTTGAGATCTCCAGGAAAGACAGCTAGGTGGAGGGCTATACCTTCTCAAGTGAGAGAACCAAGGAACCAAACAGTGGAAGATTGTGGCTCTGCACGTGTAGGGGCTATAGTAATGGACTCAACGCCTCTCAGGCTCTGCAGCTGAAAAGGTCTGCTGCTCACAGAGATTTACAAGCAGAGGGCTTACAGTCTAACTGTGGTGAGATGCTCAGCTCCTGCAAGGGAACATTCGCCGGGCTATTCATCCTGGTATACCACCGGTCTTCCAGAGCAGACTAACACATTAAAAAAAAAAAAAAGATTTATTGACTTTTGTTTGTACAAGTGTTTTGATGGTCGATATTTTACTGGTATGTATGTAATGCCTGTGAAGGCTGCAAGAGGATGACAGCACCACCATGTGGGTGCTGGAACAGAGCCCAGGTCCTTTGGAAGAACAGCAAGTCCTCTTAACCCCTGAACCACCTCTCCAGTCCTGCAGATGAACACATTTTTGGATAGGCAAAGCCTCATAGAACAAACTACTAGGTATCTTATCAGAGTGAGATGCTAGAGGGATGACAAATTAATCAAAGCTTCAATTTCAAGATAGAAAAAGACAAGATTATATAAAGAGATATACAAAAATATTTACTGAAGCATGCTGAAATAGTTAAAAAAAAAAAGCAACAAAAGTGCAAAAACGCATCTCACAAAGCCAATGACCTCAAAGAACAAAAAGCCAAAAGCCTGTAAGCTCAGTTTGCCACAGGCTATTTGGAAAAACCAAGGAGTTGTTACCCAAAAGAGCTAGTCAGGAAATGGTCACTGAAGAAAAGAAATGAGAGCTACTGACAGGCAAATAAGAGATATGTAAAGGGAATCAGAAAAGGGAGACTATCTTTAAAGATGCTAAGAAGAGCCAAAACTATCTGTGGGGTTCTGGCCAAGGAGAAGACCAGGTCGAGCAAGGCGGTGAGCAAGTGAGCAAGTCTGTCTGTAAAGCACACACAAACTCCATGCTCAGAAGTGATGAAAGTCAGGTAGAGTCTCATGAAGATCCTAGAATCAGGGTTGGAGAGATGGCTCAGTGGTTAAGAGCACTGACTGCTCTTGTAGAGGTCCTGGGTTTGATTCCCAGCACCCACACGTGGCTAACAACTATCCATAACTCCAGTTCCAGGGGATCTGACACCCTCTTCTGACCTCTAAGGGCACTGCATGCACAAGTTCATGAACATACATGCAGGCAATATATATAGATCCTAGAATCCAGGCCACCTTTCAGGAGCTGTCTGGTGAGATGATGAAGGCTGGAACCATACAAGAGATCTCAAAGGACATTTTTTTCTCACTGTAGCCCAGACTGGTTTTAAACTCTTGACCCTCTTCTCTCAGATTCCTGAGTGCTGGGATTATTAGCATGCACCATTACATCTGGCTTAGAGCATCCTTTAAAAGTATCAGGAAGAAATGAAAGCAGCAGCAGAAATGGAAACTGACAAAATTCAACTTGACATGACAAGGGCCTTGAACAAACCACCCCTACTTTAAAATAGGCTATGGTCTTGTATAAAGTAACAGAACTCAAACCTAGGCTGAGTAATGAGGCCAACCTTTGAATCATACATGTCTGTTTTTTAAATGGGGGACTATCATTATCTCCTGTGCACTCTGATTCACAAGTGGATAGACATTAAAAAATAATTTCCACAAAGCACTTTGTATTCCTTAGAGAATGGATACTGCATCATACATTATTACCGTATTGAATATGCATGATTTCCAGTATCACATAAAGTCTATCTAGACATACTTTCCCATTTCATTCCATCACTTAGAGTTGAGCTGAGTGAATTCTAGGCTATTATTTCAAGCATCAAAAACTTAGAGGCAAAATATAAGCTTCACATACTATATAATGTTTGAATAATGATAAATCATTGATGTGCTTACAGGAACTTCAGCTTTCTTACTTATTTTGTGAACTAAACTCAATTACAGAGTTCTTAAAAGTGTTTTTACATTTTATCTATCATCTATCTATCTATCTATCTATCTATCATCTATCTAATGCACATGTATGTAGGTAAAAGGACAACTTTCAGGGCTGGTTCTCTCCTTCTACCAAATGGATCCTGAGGATTAAACTAAGGTTGTCAGATTTGGTGGCAGGCACTTTACCTGCTGAGCCATCCCTCTGGCCCCCAGCAGTGGTATGGGCATAATGCTCTGGCTCTAGAGTTACAAGGGATTCCAATTTGAGGATATGAATCTTTAATATTAGTTATTCGTCTTGTAACTGCAGGCAAATTAAGTTTCTTTTTGTTTTGGAGATTGTACCTACTGGTCAATGTCTATCTCACACATGACCCAGCAATTAAATAGTGCAGGAAAAGCCCTAGTGTAGGACAGCTTCAGGCATCAACTTGACACACCTGGGAAGAGGGAACCTCAATTAGGGAATTTTTTCTATTGGCTTGGCCTGTGGGCATGTCTGTGAGGTATTTTCTTGATTGTTTAGTGATGTGAGAGGGCCCAGCTCACTGTGGGTGGTGCCTCCCCTGGGCAGATGATCCTGGGTTATATAAGAAAGCAGACTGAGCACAGGCTAGAGGAGCAAGCCAGTAAGCAGCGCTCTTCCAAGGTCTGTGCTTCAGCTCCTGCCTCCAGGTTCCTGTCCTGAGTCCTACCTTGGCTTCCCTTGAGAGTAGACTAGCCAAATAAACCCTTTCCTCCTGTAGCTGGTTTTATCACAGTAATAGAGAGCTAACTAATACAACCCTTTAGCAGAGGACCAACACCCACAGCAAGAATGTAAGTGTTTGACCAGGTACGGTGGTACATGCCATTAGTCCCAGTACTTGGGAGGCAGAGGCAGGTGGATCTCTGTGAGACCTAGGCCAGCCTGGTCTACATAGTGAGTTCCAGGCCAGCTGGGGCTACAGGGAGACCCTGTCTCAAAAAACCAACAAACACCTTCCCTAAAAGAATACAAGTGTCTGTTTCCTATACTCATTCTGTCTTTCCTAAAAACAATGCTTTTCATATTGCTGAATTGTAAAGCACAGAGACCACATCTAGTTAATCATTCAGTATCACAAAATAGATATAAAGATGCAAACTCAGACAATTAAGCAATTTAAACCAACAAATGTTCCTTAATTTAAGCAAGAAACAATGTCATTACAGATAATATTATATATGACTGCAGTATACTTTTTATACTGCTGTAATATAAATCAAGGCCATATAAATATGACATTTTTCAAATCACATATTTAAGATTTTTCCATTAAAATGTGAGAATAAAAAGATTAAAGCTAAGCCAGGCATGATAGTGTGTACCTTTCAGGCCTGCACTTGGGAGGCAGAGGCAGGTAGATCTCTGAGATCAAGGCTAGCTGGGGCTACAGGAGGATCCTGACTTTAAAAAAAAGGATTGAAACTAAAAATATTAAGTCTGAATTAATTGGAAAATTTAACCTAAATTAAATAGCTTAATTCCAGTAACTATGGAAACAAATGCTTTGGGTTTCAAACAGACCTTATAAAGGAAGGTCATGGTAAAAATGCATTACCATCTAGTGAAATTCTCATTCCTAAGAAGGATAACTTGACTTTCACTTTAGTTAACAGTTAGTTTGACCTGTTCATTAAATGAATATGCAAACAAACCCCAATGAAGTAAAAAATTATTCCTACCTTATTGTTTCTTCTATCAGGCGATCTGAGCTGAAAAAAAAAAAAAGCAAATTTAAATGCTGGAATTATTAAACACATACTTCAAAACTTTCAATTTTTTTCTACATTTATAAAGTTTCAGCCATTTATGTATACAGAATACTTTAATGATAGCATTAAGAAATGCAAGTTCTTTGATGGAAGCTACTCAAAGTTGCTGCCATCCATTCAAAAGGAAAGAATTACAATCCACTTGTTGAGACACATCAGATAGTTCTGATGCCTCTAGTAGTAATTAGTTTACACCTCCAAGTTCTTTCCTTTTCTGGGAAACAATTATTTTTTAAACTAAACAAAATGTAGCTCATTAAACTTTAGAATTCAAGAATGTAACTAAAGACAACAAATATGTGCTTTTGATCTATAAACTATATGCCTTTAATGCCTTACACATTGTAAGGAACAAAGCCATTTTAAGGAGGAATTTAGGTAAGTTTGGTAGGGAGTAGCTATTCTGGAAAGCACAAAAACAGTTTCAGACACCTGTATTCATTTGGTGCAGTGCAAGGCATTCATTAGGTACTTCATGTGCATTTTCCCTCAGTGTGAAACAAAACAGAACACTGAAGACTGAATATAACAGTAATATAATAAAAGTGTCAATAAAGATGAGTTCCTTAGGAATGTAATAAATACGCTGAAGCCTTACAATTAAGAATTAAAAAAAAAAACAGATAGTGGTTAAAAGCCAGACATGTGCTTTCAGGGTTTACAGGCTGACTTTACCACTTATTAGCCATTGGATGTTGGGCAGGTCTCTTTCTACCCCATTTTTTTCAGCTGTAAACTGGTGGTGGTAGTAAACCCGACTTGCTCACGAAAGCAAAGTACATTATATAGTAATGATTAGATCCATACCTGGCAGTAAGTATTAAGTATTTTTACTACTATTCTAGTAGTTTCTTAATAACTATAGACTGATTCTAAATCTAGGCATGAAACTGCTCTAAGTTTCTGGATAAACTCACCATTCTGGTGAAATCTACTCATTATTAGGCATACTAAGTAAGTATCCCCCCGCTTTTTTTTAGACAGGGTCTCAACTATGTAGGACTTGTATTTTCCTTCTTTTATGTCTCTTTATTTTAGTCCAAAAAATAATATAAAGCATATTTCCAAATACATCACACATAAATGTCCAGGATATTAATTCTAGCTTAATCATGCATGTAGAGTTACAATGTCTTACACAACCATTTCTCAATCCCCCATTCCATCATCATTAGCCTATACAGTAGCATAAATAGGGAAATGATTTTTACCTTCTCAAATGCCCAAATCATTTGGCTAAGATCAACTAAACAGAATAAACACCATTCATATATACTGGAAGGGTAGGCATAGTGAATTAAGTCAGTCTCAGAAAGGTAAGTAAGTATTCCACATTTTCCTCATTTGTGGGTCCCACACATTAGATATACACTACCATATATGGACCAATGGCATGAAAGTAGAAGCAAAACTATTTGGAGAACAAGGGGATAACAGGAGGAGGGGCAGTGGGGTATGGGAGGGAATATGCTCAAAATTCATTATGTATGTGCATGAGATGGACTTATGTGCCCTGTATAATACAAAAAATATTATCCAGGCATGATGGCACAGGCCTTTAATGCCATTTCATTCCTTTATTGAAAAACATTGTGGTTGCTTCCAATTTTTGGCAATCATGAAAAAAACTGCAATAAACATTCATGTCCAAGTTTTTGTATAGATGTAAATTTCCATGTAAATTTCCAACTCATTTAATACTCAGGCACATGACTATTGGAATACAGAAGATTAAATCCAGCTTAAGAAAAACGTCAAGTGGCTTCACAGTGTGTGTACCATTTCACATTCCCACCTCAATCAGAATTCTGGTTGGTCCATATTCTCACCAGCATTTGGTATTTTTTGGATTTTTGCCATCCTAACATGAAGAGTGCGATCTCATTTTTAATTTTCAATTCTTTAATGATATGATATTGAACATCTTTCATAGCTTTAATTTGCCACATATATTTTTGGCTGAGGTATGTCTGTTCAGATCTTTTGTCCATATCCGAACTGTTGAATATTCAGTATTCTTTGTATATTTTATTTATTAAGGCTGCAACAGGTAACACTGTCAACTTGATTGGATTGAGAAATGACTACATTAGAAAAGCACACCTCTAAGGGTGTCTGTGATAGTGTTTCCAGACACAATTAGGGCTCTGACCTAATGAACGGATTAGTCCCTTGATAAAACTCATACTATGACAGCATTGCTGGGAAGGAGAGATAGGACATGGGTCTAGAGGGAGGAGTAGTCACTGGCAGGGGGTATATCTTTGGGAGGCTATATTCTGTCCTGCCCTGCCCTTTCTTAGATTCCTTTTTCCGCTTCCTGGTAAATATGATGTGAAGTGCTCTGCCACACCCACCCTGCCACGACAGGCTGACACCTCTGAAATCAAGACCCAAAATAATCTTTTCCTCCCTTTAAGTTGTTTCTGTCAGGTGTTTGATCACAGTAATGATAAAGCCAACTCATATAAAAACCTTTATCAGATGTGGTTTTTTCTTTTTCTTTCTTTTCTTTTTGTCTTTTTGAAGCAGGGTTTCCCTGTAGCCCCAGTTGTCCTGGAACTCACTATGTAGACCAGGCTGGCCTTGAATTCACAGAGATCCACCTGCCTCTGCCTCCCAAGTGCTGGGACTACAGGGACGCGCCACCATGCCTGGCTAGATGTGTGTTTTGTAAACATTTTTTCTTGCCAATGGCTTATCTTCCATTTTCTTAACAGTGTCTTTGGTATGGTGCACATTTTTAATTTTAAGTCCTAATTATTATTTTAATAAAGTCCACCTTGACAAATTTTTTTCTTTCATGGTGTTTTTTTGGCATTAGATTTTAAAACTCACCGCCAAATCCAAAGTCACCTAGACTTCTTCATTATTAAACCTGGTTCTTTGGTTCCACAGATGCTTTGGTTTGGTATTTTACACTTAGGCTTGGTAAGATCAGTATCAACATTCAGCTTTCCACAGGTGGATGTCTGGTTGTTCTAGCATTACTTGCTGAAGAGGTTATTCTTTCCCCATTGAACTGATTTTATTCCTCTGTTAAAGATCAGTGGCTAGGGAGGTGTGGTGGTGTACCCCTTTAATCCTAGCACTTTGGAGGCAGAGGCAAGCAGATCTCTGTGAATTCAGTGCCAGCCTGGTCCAAGCAGTGAGTTCCAGGGCAATCAGGGATAGTGACTGGCCTGTTGCCCTGTCTCAAAACAAAACAAAAAAAATCAATTTTTATATTTGTGTAGATCCATTTCTGGGGTCTCTTTCTGCCCTACTGAGTTATTCTTTTACCACTATCTGCTTAAAAAAAATTAATAACAAAATTATGCCAGGCGTGGCAGAGCACGCCTTTAATCCCAGCACTCAGGAGGCAGAGACAGGTGGATCTCTATGAGTTCAAGGTCAGTCTGGTCTACACAGTAAGTTCCACGCCAGCTGGGGCTATAAGTAAACACTGTCTCAAAAAGAAAAAAAAAAAATATGTGTATGTGTCTGGGTACGTGTGCTGTATAAGGGTCTTGCCAGAGGTCCAAAAATGGCACTGGATCCCCTGGAACTGGAGTGAAAGGTGATTCTGAGCTGCCCAATGTGGGTGCTTAGGAACTGAACACAGGTCCTCTGGAAGAGCAGCAAGTGCTCTTAAGGGCTGAGCCATCTCTCCAGCCCTGTTACATGAATGGTTTATAAGGACAGGCGAGCTGGGAATGAAGCTCGGTGGGTAGAGTGCATAAGCTGGGTATGGTGGTATATGCTTGTAATACCAGCACTTAGAAGATAGAGGCAGAAGGATCGGAAATTCAAGGTCATCTTTCACCACAGAGGGAGTTAAAAGCCAACCTGGGTCACATGAGATCTTATTTTTTTTAAAAAAAAGAAAAGAAAGGTTGGATGTGATGCTGCAGACCTAAGGAGAAGCAGAGGCAAGAGAATTTCTGTGAATTCAAGGCTAGCATGGTCTGGTCTACATAGTGAGTTCCAGGTCAGCTACATAGTGAGATCCTGTCTCAAAAAAACAAAAGAAAAATAAATAAGGAAGGAAGGGAGGGAGGGAACTGCCAGGTTGTGCAACTTGTGCTCCAGACCAGCCTGACTAGTGCGTCTCTCAACGCTCATCAGAGAAAGGTTCTTTTTGTGGTAGAAAACATTATCACAAAGACCCACAACTGGTCAACATGCAGAGAGAACGAGACTGTGTTAAGAGACTGTGGAGTACTCAGCCCTAAATGGGGCATCTACAGCCCACCTTCCCCAAAGGTTCAGGGATCTTCTTGGAAGAGGGGGTGGAAAGACTGCAAGAGGCAGAGTGGTGGACAACAAGGAAACAGGGTTTTCCAAACAGCAGGCCAGTCATACATATGAACTCACAACAGTTGTGACAGTATGCACAAGACCCACTTGAGCTCAAGCCAGACAAATCTCAGCATAATGGTGGGCCAGGGGGACAGGAATCCCCAGCCCTAGCAAAGGAGCTGAAGGCATATGACAGCTGCTGGGTGAAGAAGAATCAGTTTTCCTTAAGGGTTTGGGCCCTGACAGATTGACCATACTCCAAGGGCTGGATCCACACTCGAGAGTATTCGGGCAACACAAATTGGACTTATGTGGTGGGGGAACACAAAATTGGGGGCTTAGGGAGGTAGGGTGGGATGAGTTGGGGGAAGTGAGACTGTGATCAAACTATATTGTATGAAACTCTCAAAGAATTTAATAAAAAAAAAATTTTAGCCGGGTGTGGTGGCACAAGCCTTTAATCCCAGCACTTGGGAGGCAGAGGCAGGCGGATCTCTGTGAGTTCAAGGCCAGCTGGGTCTACATAGTGAGTTCCAGGACAACTGGAGCTACAGGGAGACCCTGTCTCAAAAAGACCAAAAACAAAAAACAAAACAAAACCCCCCAAAAAACCCTAAAAAAACTCTTACATATTAGGTATAAGCTAATGACTAGAACTG